AAAATTTTTAATATACATCCAAATTTCTTGATGTTTTATAAGATAATTGCATTATTTACAGTTTTAGAATATAGTAAATAGGATTTCCAAGAGAAAAGTACTTTTTAAATTATAATAATTTATTACTCTTTGGGGATTTAACTTTCCTAGTTGTGACTTTAAATATTCATTTTATAAAAAAATGAAATAGTTCCTCTGTTAAAAGTTACCTCTATTCCAGATAGTGTCACATTTCAAATGAAAAAGTACATTACAATATATAATAAATAATCCTTATTACAGGGTGTCTGGAATGTTACTGTGCAGTGAGAAATTTGCAATGACATTAAAGTTTTATGTATGGCATTTGCATACAACTTTCAGATCTTGTATGTCCTGCATTTCCACATGCATTACTGCATGACATTAATGTTTCCTCACTGATATTGTGGTTTTTGGACTATATATTTTGGAAGACTTCTTTGCCAATTGCATAATTTCCAATGGAAACTGGACTGCCTAGGTCTTTGGACCTCATTCAGCCTGAATTTTGGAGTCTCTGGGAGATACTTTCAGCATTGCTTTAGGAGAAATTGCAATATCCTATGTGAAACTTCACTTTTATTAAAACTTTGCTAAAAAAATTTCCATTGCACAGCAACTTTTTGGACATCCTGTATAGTCCTACTTTCTATAATAACAACAATAATTCATAGCCTGATTTGATTAATTAATGCCAAATGACATTAACTTTATTTTGAAATTAATAGTTTTGGAATCAAAGATCTGGGTAGTGTAATTGACAATGCATCAGCACAGAAAGCAGAAATTGCAGGTTCAAGTCCTGCTCCAGCCCAATTATTTTTCTCCAAAAATTTTTAAATTAAAAATTAATTAATTATAATTATTAAAATTTGTATGTGATAGCTGTATATCTGCCTACCTCTAGTCAAATTAATTAGTAACTAATCATTAACATAACCTGATCATTTGGCATTAATTAATTCTACTTTCTACCGCTCCCCCTGAAAAATCGAATATTAGCTTATATTAAGTATTTTTTATACTTTAAGATACCCTCAGATTACATTTGATGCTTCAGGTTAATTGTAATATTATGTTAAAGTTTATCATTTTTATACAGCTCTAACAACTTCAAATATTACAAAGTTTAACTTTGAAGTTAAGACTAATTGTAATTACAAAGTTTGTTGTTTCTTTTTTTTCATCTCTTATTTACAGATTATTTCATATAACTTGGCTAACTGCTGTATGGTACTCGGGGCCCTGAAAGTTTTATAAAGGTCAAGAGTCCCTTTTAATTAACACACGTTAACCATCTCAAAGAATTTGTTCCCTTTACTAAGTAAATAGATTTGTCCCTTCTACTATGCATTTTTACAGAACTCAGCCAACATTCATGAAACAAGCTGTAAGCCAAATTTCCATTAACGACAATGCCATTTTATTCCATTTTGAATTATTATTATTATTTTTTTAAACTTTAGAATGAACTTTTTATATAAGGTACATCATCAGTAATAGGACAATGTTTCAAGCACTGTAGAGTGCTTCAAACATATCACAAACCTGTCCACCACCAATGTGTAACACAAGATTGGAAATTGTTCAGAGATTAACTAGTTGATATCTGATTATGTAACAAAACCTTGCTTTTGCAATAAAACAATCTTTTAATATCACAACACTTCATTGTCCTACTACCAATGATATATCCTGTATAATGTCATATAAAATTAATTAAAATAATGCAAACTAAAGATACAATATAATGTGATTAGTCATACTAGTCAAGTTTTCAAGTGCTTTTCAAGTTAATTGAATAGATGGCTTACATCAGTTTTCTTTGTAATGTTTTTATTCTTTCAATCAAATATAAATTCTGGTAAACACTGTCAATATTCAGAAAGAAAATACAGTGGTACCTCAGGATACGAAATTAATCCGTTCTGAAACTGAGATCGTATCATGAAAATGTCGTAAGGTGGATCATCTTTTCCCATACGATTACATGTAAAACCAAATAATTCGTTCCAACGCGAAAAACATACTCAAATTAAAGCCAAGTAATACATT